AAGTTTTAGATGCAACCACAACCATTAATGAAGTGCTACACATTGGCAACGTACATTTATGTCACAATGCAAATACGTCTATCTGTGAAAAAGGCCTTTTAGATTAAAGACAGACTCTGTAGCTTTTATTGATTGATTCATTGATTTGATCGCTTTAATACTTTTATTTAACAGTATGCAACTATTTTATCTTTATACTGTGTATACGAAATTCACTTGCCACTGGATGTCACACTAGAGCACCGGCATCTCAGACCAAAACAAAAGGACAGAATTAAAATAAAACTCACCAAAACCATCTTTGTTAATCTTTCCACAGTCTTTCCAACAATAACCAAACCTGGTTTGGTCTAAATAAAGGCTTAATTCACATAGTTAGATGCCCTTGCATATTGCTGTAACATTGTAACTTCATTCACGACAGAAACAGAAACCAAATTAAACTCATGAAAACTGTTTGTCTTTCCAACAATCACCAACTCTGGTTTGGTTTAAAATTAATCCAAATAAAACGTAGATGATAAAAAGTTTCTCTACTGATAATAAATGCATGTTTAACGTCCACATCAATGACTTTAGGGGTACAAATCTAAAAAAATACAGCTTCTTACATGATGTTCCTTTAGGCAGTGTTAGCAAATGCAGGTAGAAAGGTAACACAAGATGGTTTATCTTTGCGATCTTCTGTTGCCTGAAGTTTTTAAACAGGAAGTGCTAAGTGTTCTTTCTTTTAATAGAAGGGTGGTTTCATTGAAAAGCTTAGGGAAGCATGTGCTGCACCCTGTTGGAGGTGGGGAAGATAACTCAACAATCTTTGTAAAAACTAACACTCAGCCACTGAAAAGCTGTATCATTTTTCCAGTGAAACACTCAAGACTCCATATTTAGGCTTATGAAAATGTGGCCTTGAGAAATATCATTAAAAAAGTTCTTTTACATAGGCAACTAAAATTGTGCAATATATATTATCTACGGGTTTTTTTTATATAAAAGTTTTATATCTAAATACATATTTTTTTTTCGACTGTACATACTGCCTTTCCTCTATTCATGTTGTGCTATGTGTCATTGTTACGTAATTTCATTTTGATGCAAATCCAAATGACAAAGTCTGTCTAAGTCTATCTGACCATTTCTGATATTATGTATATTGTAAATATTACTCACAAATGTAAAATTCTAAATAACAGTCAACTCAAGACTTCACATCATGTCACAGACCCACCTTACTAATGAGTGGTCTTATATGTATCAAGTATTCTTGTGTAGTCCTCTGATTTTGCAGAATACATGAGCACAATATTTTTGAGATTTGAGATTCACAGTGTATGTAAAAATGCTTCCAAGAGGTCACTTTGTGCTCATTGTGTTTACTCTAAATGACAGTTGATCTCTGCTTCATTACAACTGAAAAAGAAAAAATATATATTTGGCACATTCATAATGCATGTGTTAAAAAAACTTGTATTTTAGGAAAATCACATTTACAGTAGCATTCATTTGTAGGAAACATTCATACTTTCATTAATCACCCTCATTATAACCATCATATATTCTTTTAAGGACCAATTTCAGTTCCTCAGTCACCCTCAATATCAAGAAAATATTAAGATACATCATGACTGTAAGATACCAAAGCCAACATGTTATACATATAATGTAATATACAGTCATTTATTTATCTCTACTCCTAGAGAATCTTTTAACTTGAAACACAGGAATGGACGTTTGTACAGAATCATGTTTGGCGTCATCGCGTCAGGAGAATATGTATGAAGATGTGTCTCTGAGGGTCTAACAGGTCTAGACGATGCCGAACTGAGCCAGGTCACTGAGTTCCATGTCACCAAATGCCTCCCAGGGGCAGACCACGGCAGAGTCTGCAGGAGAGGAAGACAGAGCAAACGAGAAAGATTCATTTAATAAGGTAAATCACAGAAAAAAACAGCGTTAATTCAACACAATCTATAGCAGACAAAACCAAACAAAAACTAATTTTACTGTATTTTGTGTCTCATTTTTATATGTCTCTCTCTGGTTCCAGATGTATAAACTATGACCACAATAAACAAAAAACATACTTTTTTTTTTTGTGTGGTATTCCTGTATATCTTCATATACTAGTTTCCAGATGAGTGAGTGTGTCTCACCCCTTCTGTCCCGCTTTGGGAGCCTTGCTCTTGAACTGCCTGGTTTCCTTCTGTTTGAACTTGGGAGGAGTGGCCTTGGTGCCTTCTGCTGCTGTGTTCATTTCTACATGGTAAGAATAAAAAATATTAATGAGCTTTGTCTGTCAAAAATCTAATCTTACCATATATTATATTTATATACTGTAAAACCCTCAGTATGCTCCAAATGTTCAATGTCTAAAACCAAAAATCTTTAAGGACTTGTCTCTTACATGTTTTTATTGTCCTGATATGATAATATATTGTTATATAATCATACAAATAAATCATACAAAACTGAGAGAAAAAAACTGATGATTCTTTTGGAAAATTATAAAAATTATTGTTAGACAATCCAAAAAGTACTTTGTTTGAAGCATATTGACGCTTTAAGACTAAGACATTAAACACAAAAAAGACACAGGGAGAAAGAGAAGTGAGAGTTTTGATTATTGAGGCAGTGTATTGAGTTTTCCAGGTTGATCCCCTAAAAATGTATCCAACAAAAATTGTCAAAATCCTAAAAAAACATAACTTTCTAACTTTAAACACAAGAACCTCTGAGGGAACTTGTTCAAGCAATAAATTGGTGAAAATAGTATTTCCAACTTGTGCTACTCTTACATGATCCATTTCATCTGCACCAAGCCTTCTGCCTTGACTAGTTTCAGGCTGTTTGATGTGTTTTTGAAGTGTTCGACTGTTAATATGACATAATCATATCCCATAATCAGATTAATTATTGTAGGTGATTTTAACCTCATCCGAGTGTAAATGTTTTTCTGTTGTGTAGTTACGAGATTACACACATTTTTGTCACTGTATTTTACTGCTATGTGCTTCTCTTTGGAGGTCATTGAGGGATGATGGCTGGATGGATGTTATTTTTTGTATCTCTGAGGAATTGTAAGCAGAGTCACTTTCTGTCTGTTTATGTTGCCTGTAAGTTGTTCACATGGATATCTACCTCAAGACCTTAAAGGTTGGAACATTGTTAATGGGATCCTGTAAAGCCTCACACAGTTTAGTACATGTTCCTCGTTATGCAAAAGTATCATTGAGTTTACAGTGTGTGAGAGATTATTACCTGTAATCCTTCATGTTCTCACCATGTTGTCGTTGTACGACCCTGAACCACCCTGCAGCAAATGAATGAGCACACTATGAGTTGAGTGAAGATCACAAACCATTGTTGATTGACCATATCCATTTTTTTAAAGTGAGTTGTGAAATCATTTTAATGATGATGAAACTACAAGAAAAAAATCACAGCTGATCACTTAATTCTCAATATTTTAAATATATAAATATTTTCAAATCTCTTATCCTTTACTGGCTCTATGATTATCTTTGAACAATCAGGCTTACTTATAAGCCCACACTCAAAATACCCCTCAGCCCTCGTGGTGTTTCAAGCAACAGGTGGGAGGTGGTTCAGCCAAGGCTTTAAAGGCAGCATGATGGCCTGTTGATGAGACAAAATAGAGACACTGCAAGAAGAAAGACGTCTTTGTCTTGCAGCTGTTTTTTTTTTGCTTCTTCTCTGTAAAGAGAAATTTCTTTGACATCGAGTCCTCCAGAAAACCAAGTAAGTGCCTTTTTGGTTAAGTGAGCTCAAATTTTTGCCTAGTTTGTTTATCTTTCCACCTGCTTTTCTTTTTAAATACTTTTAAAAGCTTGTTATAGCAGCATGGTATTCAATATAACTACATTTCTTCCGCCTGCACTCTTCTAATGATAACAGCTGGGTAATGGCAGTTCTGGTTTATAATATGCAGGTTTTAACTCTCAACCAACGTTAAATCATCTCATCTCATGAATTATGAGACACTGAGATACATTGTTTAGCTTGTTTATCTGATTTTATCTAATCTCCTTAAATTTATACTGTGGGGATTTCCTACCTGTATTTTCTTATTATTTTGCTGTGTTCAGGATGTTTCTGGGTGTCAACCTTTGGGCACACACACAGGACAGACAGGATCATGTGTGTAGTTTCGACTGCATTCACAAACAATTTGACTCAGCTGTATTTTGTGAATCAGAAAATAAATAACTTTTTGATTCCTCTCTTCACTGCTAATGTCGCAGTGTCTCTTCATTCACTCTCTAGCTCACTCAACCACCGATGCTCTCTCATTCTCGCTACTCATTAGGAGTTATTACACGTGTGACCAAAACTGTTGGTCGTATTTAACACACAGGACTGTTGCTAAATGTCATAAATATTAAATCTGGAGTCAAAACAGGAAGAACAGAGTACAGTACATTAGTTTTTACTAATTAGCCAAAATGTCCTATCAAAAGTTCTTTTTTGACATGAGTTTATTTAGCTAAAAATAAATGTCTGTCAGATTCTGGTAACCATAGCGAAGGATATTTGTCATTATTTTTGACATTTTGTTAATTGAATAATTTATATAATTAGTGTATCTTGTGTGTGGATCTGCAAAAAATCATTAATTTTTTAATATTGGCCCAATTGTAATGTTGACCACTCGAGGGAACCACGTTCAGCCGTTCAGCTGCTAAACTTGTTGAATTTTATCTTTAAATAAAAAAGAGATTACAATCCTCATCGTTATCCGCCCTCGTCCCAGAACATGACATAGATTAATGAGATCTTCTTTGGCGGCAGATGCTGATCCTCACAAACATGTTGTGACTATGTGACAGCTGATCTTTGGCTTTAGGACTGACATAAATAGGATTAGTTGTGTAAAATATGGAGAGAATTTATGACTAGTAACCAGATAGAAAACGCACTTTAGACAGTTTATGAATAGAATTACATAAATAGAGAAGTTTGAAAACGTAACAGGATAAAGTGTGAGTCACATATCTCCAGCATTTATGGTGAGTATCATGATTCTGTCTTTGTGATTAAGAGTCTCCAAGATGAACGCAGCAGCAGTAGGTGAAGGCTCCAAGGCCGCCCCCCCCAAGTTCAAGCAGAAGGAGACAAGGCAGTTCAAGAGCAAGGCTCCCAAAGCGGGACAGAAGGGGTGAGACTAGTCATTTCCTACATCAGACATCATGCTATTGATCCAACAACTCTAATATTCACTGAATATTTCACTTCTTTCCAAATAGGTTCGATAACGACGTCCCGGGGATGGAGGGTCTTGGAGGTGAGGCTGAATTTAGTGTTTAATCTGGAACTTTTTCAGGTTTAGATGTTTAGTCTGGACTCTGACGTTTTGGTTTTCCGGCCCTGCAGACTCTGCTGTGGTCTGTCCCTGGGAGGCGTTTGGTGACATGGAGCTGAGCGACCTGTCTCAGTTTGGAATCGTCTAGGACCTGTTAGACGGGAGCTCCCACCCTGGTCCCGAAAAGATTTCACAGTGTCAGCTGAGGATGAGGAGGAGGAGCATGTTTGAAGGAGGAGGAGGATGCAACAGTCACTGTGGGACAGATCTCTGCAGTGCCAGGGTTATATGGAGCTAGCCCATTAAATATATACAATATATTTATTTTTCTAGGTGCTGTAAATTAATCTATTTTTGCTTTAAAAATAAAGAAATCATGACTCTACCTCTCACTATAAGTGTAACTAGCTACTATTATAACAGTGTTGATACAATAAATATTAGTATTTATAATTGTGTTGGTCTGTATGAAAGTTATTTTCTTCAGCCTGTTTAGTAAATTGTGTTTTTTTAAATTGTCAGTAAGTTACAGGATATTTATCCTACATCAGCCAGGATGATATGGTTGATATTTATTTTTATTCAGGGGTTTTTAAAAAGTCTAAAATCCGAATAATCAGAATTTTTATTTTTGCTTTGAAATGTGTTTGTGTGGAGGAAACATTTTTATTGATCATGCTGTAACAACTATAACATGAAACCGACATGGAACCAATACCAATATCCTTCAAATCCTTTTTTTTTTTTCTTAAATTCAACCTGTTGAAACCTGCAGAAAGCTTGTTATTGGTATTAATATTATAGCTCAGAATCAGTTTGTGTCGTAACAAGAACAAACAGAACTGCCAAACATATGTTTGAGGAATACATACATACAGCAGTTTGTCCATCGGGGAGCGCTGACGAGTTAAAATGTGCTCACTATATACTGGTCACAATTCTTTAATAAACAAAATACAACTTTAATGGATCCTTATTATTATTTCTGATTGAGTTTATGTTTATTGGACTTTTTTAAACTCTCAAATATTAATATCAGTATTGATCTCAAAATCTTGTATCAGTTGGACTATGTGTGATACATCAGGAGGTTTATCCTGATTACTATTACTTTACCAACCTGAGCTGGTAGGTACTTTATCAACCTGAGCTGTTTGGAGTAATGTTTGCCTAAATCCCGCTGAACTCTACATCTGCTCCCATCTCTTCATCCATTAATATGTAAAAGAACAATCTATTTACATTAAATCACATCCTCAGCTAGGTATTACGATGATTATAGAAATAATTTACAGGTCTTTTTTTTTTCTTTGGGAATAAATGAATATCAGTAAATGACAGTAAAAGAACAATGCAGTGTGTTATAGATGTCTCAATCAAATCAAATCAATCAACCACAAGAGCAGCATGGAGGATTAATTCTAGGTGAGGAAAAATGTGACACTAACATGGCGGATCAGCGGGTCTGTTATACGCTTAAATGTGAGACTATAGGCTGAACTAACCTCAGCCAAACTACTAGCAGTGACTGTAATTCAATACTTTAGTAGCTGTTTCACAGTAAAAGCCTTTATGAACTCAATCGGATGCGCAGAGTTTGCATTAACGCCATTTAATCAGGCTTATATAAAATGGTGGTGGGGAGAGACAGAGAAACGTTTTAAACTGTTTAAAAGTTGCTTTTTTATTCTCCCCATAAACATCTGTGTGATTTCCATTTCTGTTTAATCAGCATGTGGATATTTCACACCTCTCAGGTGCCATCAAATTAAATATTCATTGACTTTAGATAAAGGACACACATTTGTAATAAAATCTGTGTTAAATAATCTCATAACGTGCATGAAAAAATGTACTTGTGAAAAATTGGATTAAAACAAAAGCTTGCTCAGTATAGTTATTAATGTTTATAGAGATATCTATGATTTATTGCATAGTGTTAATGTCCTCACTGCAAAATTACATTCAGATCAAGATCTGTCAGTCTAAATAAAAGTGAACGTATCACAAAATAAAACTGTCTCTAAAAGGAACTTTGATTTTGTGTTGATTCTGGCGCCCCCTGTGTTTTGACCGCTGTGTTTTCATTGAGTTGAAGAGGAATCCGACCCGACAGCAGCCATTAAAAATAACTATAGATATATAATTTTCTGTCTGATGTGTGTTTATTTATGTAGGTCTTATAGAGGCACCGGTATTAAATGGAGACTGTTTCATAACTAGTTGTACGTTTAAATGATTAATATTGAATGTAAAAAGAAAGATATAGATTTATATTTTCCCTTCAGCCTCCCAGTTGCTAAAAAAGAGAGAAGCTTTTTGCTATTATTAGTCATTCATCACCAGTCAGCTGATAAAAATAACTGCCACACACACACTCCTAATCTGGACTGTTGCTCATACATGGAAACACCCAGCTCATTATCATGCAAACATTTGGAAAATTGGGAAAATATTGCTCGGGGGGGAAGAGAGAATGGATAAATGTGTGCTAAGATGGAATAAATAAGGAAAATGTAGTGTCATTTTGCATCATCTAATATTCTTCTAGCTTTGGTCCATTGTGGGGCTCATAGGAGAGAAATTCAAACAATAGAATGTAACTACATACAGACACAGCTCATATCAAAGCCAGCTGGTGTAATGGACTAGCTGTTAAGTAGAAACCACATTAAACACTGTTTCTGGCACTTGGTAGCGACAGCATTGCCAGATTTTCAGACCTACTTGAAGAACACCTCGTCGGCTAAAGACCAAGCGATTAACGAGTTAATCAGATTGACTGTTAGCAGCCTGCCTCCCTCTGCCCGCTCACAGTGGCTGAAGGAAAAGCTCTTCACTTTGATTGGAGTGTGTGACCCACAGTGACCTGCTGACTGTCAGAAGCCAAACTTTCACTCAAACAAACACATCAGGATTTTTCTTTTATCGCAGCAAACCATGGGACAAGAGGAGAGCCACACAGAGGAGATGGATCTGGCACGGATTCAGGAGCTGTGCATCATTTTCATGAAGGAGTGTCCGAGCGGTGCGTTGCACTTACACGAGTTCAAGAGGATCTTCGGCGTCCAGAGCTGCTCTGCAGAAGAGTCCCTCTACATCGAGACAGTATTCCGCTCCTTCGACACAAATAGGGTAACAGACGCAGCAGCTTCTCACTGTAGAGTTTGATTTTTACCTCTGCTGTATGTGTAACTCTGCTTTATTTGCTTACAGGATAACAGACTGGACTTCATCGAGTATGTAGCAGCAATTAACTTGATCTTACGGGGGAATCTGCAAGATAGGCTCAAGTGGTCCTTCAAGATGTACGACAAGGACGGGAATGGCAAGTTGGACAGACAGGAGGTGAAACGAATCATAAGGGTAAGAAAGACTACTTCTCATATTAAATGTTTAGTTGTTTTCATCATTTAGTATTTTATGAGTAAAGGTTTTGAAGAAAAATGGCTCATATGAACATATTAGAGTGTATATTCAGCTGCTGTGTCAAATTGTTAAAATTACCAGGTTTCATAACACAAATCCTCTCAGGTCAGATTATTGTTCTGGTCCAGTGACGGGTTTTAGGGTTGGTGTCACGTACTGTATTAGGGGCATTAGGTGAGCCGTGGATGGTCGCTGTGAAGGCTATTCTTGAAATAAACATCTTCTTACTTAACAGTAAAGCCTCTATATTCAGAGACATAAAGCTAACCCTACCTAGCCCTAACCCACTGTCCTCATGGGCTGGTCAGCGAGATGGGAACTAGGTAACGTTTGTTAGAATAATCCAAAAGTAAAATGTTTTATATGGAACTTTAATATTAGTATTCTATAGTTATGGGACATATGTGGGAAGTTCTGGAGATACAATACCGAAGGTGGATTTCTTTTAGCTTAGTTTCTAGTCATTTTATTTCACTTTAGACTAGATAAAAACATAATACTTCGATCATTTTGACAGATATTGTGATTACGATATGATTCAGGATTAGTGTGGGAATGATCATTGTTGCATCAAATTTAATTTTCACGAAAAGAAAACCTGCTTAAGTCGTGATGATGTGTTTTCTTACATCTGGAGGGCAAGATTTGTCGGTCAGGGCACCTCTGCAGACCTACAGTCCTTCATTATGATGCTGTTTGTCACATATTTAACTTTTTCTGCATATTGCACTTGGCCATATTGCAGTTTTGATGATGTTTCGTTGAGTTGTGCAGCCCTACAGGGAGACTCAACTTGCTTTGACCAGGGGCCACTTTCGCAAATTTATAGGACGCTTATAGGACGCCGGGGTGCAATAAATAAAGAATATTTATCAGATATGATGATTAAACATTAGTGTTGTTAAGGTGCCAGAATATGACGACTTTAAACTTCTTTTCTTGCAGAGCTACCAGCATGTTTTGACTCGTGATGGTGCCTCATATTAGCAACCTTGCAAGCAGCAAATTAAAAACAATGGTTTAAGATCGGCATTAGGTGGCAAAATAAAGTCATGTGTCTGTTTTCTTTTTTTCCCTTTAACAATTGCTGTCAGAAATCAAAGTCACCGCTTCTACGCGCTGCACAAATCACTGATAGGCTAATATACAACTTCCCAAGTAACAAGAGGCCTCATTAAACATTTACTTAACACAATTCTTTCACAGCAGCCATTTGGACTAGAAATAGTAGGGTAAACACAGGTGTTAACAAAGATACTAATTAAGGTTCCGACCAGAGTCAGGATGCTGCTATGTTGGCTCACTGGAAAGAAAGATATGTGCCTCAGTGACAGTATTACAGCCGGTATGTTGTGCAGGGTTTAGTGAAGAAAGCTAGAACTGATGTTAACACCTCTCATGTCTCTCTCACAGATTATGTACAAAATCAAGCTCCCGACGAGTGACGTCAGCATGACGCCGTCCGAAATCTGTGACAGAATCTTTGAGTTGGTTGACCAGAATCATGACGGTGAGTGAGTGAATGAGTGAGTAAGTGAGTTCACAGCGTCACATCAGGAAACTGGGGAAAGGAAAATATTTAAAAAAAAATCTTCAGCATATTTGTTTTGTTGTTGTTTCTCTGTTGATTTGTTCGGAGAATTCCCAGCAAAAACTACAAATCCTATGCATAAGATCTTGTTTCCTTATTTGCTTTTTAAACATTGATTTCTGTGTTATTTTTGTCAATAACAGCGGAAAAGAATAATTTATACTACTGTGCGATTAAGGAGAGTGAAAACCAACCTTCTGTTGCCTGTCTGGTTGCATTAGAAATAGTTTTCCTCCTAGTATTATTTATGTAAACCTTTATGTAACAGGACAAAAACTCAACTAAACAAATTTCTATGAAAACTGATTCAATCTTTAAATAATTTGTGTGCACAATGTATAGTCTACAGTCACAAAACTAGTCGACACTTTTGGCTTTTTTATCATCATTGCCGTAAAGACACACAGCTATTACTACCACAGGAAGTCATGTAGCTTCAGATAAAAAGCTTTTTGACCACAAACTGTAAAACCTGACAATATTTATTAATAAAAGAAGAAAGTTTAATCTTCATTCATTCACATGAATTCAACCCAACTTAAATAATGAATTGTTGAAGCAACTCAGTTGTTTTGAGTGAACTTAAATGTGTTCAGCATTTTAAGTTCAGGTGATATAATTC